TAAAGCATCGAAGGTCATTTTTCCTTCCATCCTTGTCCTCTTTTCTTTCCTCTCTTCTTTCTTCTCTTCTTTCTTCTCGTTCTTCTCTTCCATCTCTTCTTTCGTCCTTTTGATGAAATTTGGATGGCTTTATATCATATGATGACTGGTACCTTTCCCTTTTGAACTATTCTCGCTCATAGGGTTTTCTGATGAACTTCTTTTGGAACTGTTTTGTAATCAAGGCCAACGATTTGGCAAATGTTTTAATCTCATCATCTGATTTAGAAGTTTCCTCTTCAGATTCTGATTCTACCACCAATGCTTTCTTGCCTTTCTTCTTATGTTCTTTGGCAGGAGTCCTTGATTTTTCCTTTTCATCGGAAGCAAGAGCAAGAGGTCCACCTATGGATACTTTTTTCTTCATAATGTCGCTCTCTTGTGCTGCAAGTGTTCCATACAGGTCATGAAGAGACCAGCCATCTAGGTCCTGGTTTGCTTGTAGAGACATAAATAACTAAGGTCATTCATCGCCTAGACTTTTTAGGAATAAAACGTTGTTTTCTTTCTTAGTTCTGATAATATCGTTTCTGCGACATTGATTTATCAATGTGTTGAAGCGATCRTAAGTCTTTTGAATCGGTTCATCAGGGAGGGCCTTGAAATTAGTTTATTCGTTGAGACATTGTGCTCTACGATTTTTCTTTGTTTTTTGCTCCTCCTTCCAGTTGGCTTGCTAGTTCATCCCATAGTTCCTTGGTTGTGGAACATGTATCGAGGGATTGGAAGATTTCGTTGGGTAGGGCCATTATTATCAACCTTTTGGCCTTTTTGTCAGTTTCAACTCTTTCCTTGTCATCTTCGTCCCCATTTCTTTCATCTTTGGGCATGTAGTAGGCTGGAATTTCAACTGTGGTGTTTGTTCCTGGAACTCTTGGGACTAGAGTTTGTGGAATGTAGGGACCCTTCAGTATAGATCGCAGAAGATTCCTGTCCATTCCTTCCAGAAAATTCACCATTCTGATCTTCCATTGTGGATATTCCTCTTTTTGAAGAGTTGGAGGCTTTGTGAAAGAGCCAACATTATAAGCAGAATTCCAGTTGGCCATTGAGAATGTTGAAGAAGAAGATGTAATTTTTGACGAGAAAGAAGATCAAAAATTGAGAGATTTTTGAATGATCGTTTTGATTGGGAAATCAATCAAGGCTCTAATACCAATTGTTGATCCCAGATCTCTCAATAACACTAATAATCTAGTTAAGAATAACCAAATTATAGTGATTTAACGAAGAAAGTTATGAATACTCAAGAGGAAATTAATAACAATTAAGAACAGTCTTGAGCTTCAAAGGTTTCACACTTTATTATAAGAAGAACGTAAAGTTATTCAAGTAACTCGTAAAAGCGACTCTTTTTACAATATGTCAGATCACCTATTTATACTAATCAGCTAATAAGAAGATAACTATCTAATGAGACATTTTAGCTAATCTTCTATTAACAGATAACGTTTATTTATTCTATGGATAAACTTTAGTATTAAAGATAAACTAGAAATCTAGCTGTTGACATGTCATCTCCAGCTGTCATTCATGGTGTGGTGAATTATCCTTGTCTTTAGATCTTCGTTGTATGCTTCTGGACGATTTGCTGGAGAATTCACTAAGTGTTGATGACCAGAGGATCGATGAGGATGCTCTTTCCATCGCATCCCAGATTGTCCATCGGTCCTCTGGTTGTACTCCAGACTTAGCCGATACTGCCTTGATGTCTTCATTGGTCTTCTGGTTCTTCATCACTTATTGTTTTTCATTACTTTTTACATTATGAGTTATGGGGTTTAACAATAGGCTCTGATACCAATTGTTGATCTCAGATCTCTCAATAACACTAATAATCTAGTTAAGAATAACCAAATTATAGTGATTTAACGAAGAAAGTTATGAAT